TTTTACTTATTTGAGAGAGAGAGAGAGAAAACCCGTGAGCACATGAGTAGGGGGAGGGGGGAGAGGGAGAGGAAGAAGCAGACTCCCCACTGAGCAGGGAGCCCCATGGGGGCTCGATCCCAGGACCCTGGATCATGACCTGAGCCGAAGGCAGATGCTTAATTGACTGAGTCACTTAGGTACCCCAAACTGGTGGCCTTTAACCAAACTATATCAATAATTATATTAAATGTATGAGGAGTCAGCACTCTAATTAATAGAAAATCATTATTAGTTTTTATATAAAAAGTAAGATGCTACTATAAGCTTTCTTTAGAAATGCAGTTTAAATATAAAGACCTAAATAAGTTGAGGGCAAAAGGACAGAAAAAATCTATATCATACAAATAATAAGCATAAAAAAGCTGGTGCAACTATATTAATATTAGTCAAAATAGACATCAGAACAAGAAATATTCCCAAAAATGAAGCAGGATATTTTATAGTGATAAAACACCCAAGTATACATACCAATCCTAATAACAGAGTTTCAAAATATGTAGAACAGAATCAGATAGAACTAATGGGAGAACATAAAAATTCACAAATATAGTTATATATTTTAAGAGAACAAATAATATAAACCAAATTTGTCCTAATAGACATTTATAAAACATTATATCAAACACATGCAGAAGACATATTATTTTCAGTGCACATGAAACATGCACCAAGATAGATCACTCCTGGGCCACAATATAAATCTCAATAAAACTCAGTTAAACTTAGAAATCAATAACAAAACAATCTGGAAAGTAACCAAATATTTTCAAATATTTGAAATTAAGCAACACACACATATAATCCATAGATTAAAGAATAAATCACATGAATAATTATAAAATCTTTGAACTGAATGATAACTAAAATACAAGATATTCAAATTCATGGGATGCAGTTAAAGCAGTGGTATGGGGAAAATTTTTATCTGTAAGTGCACATCAAACAGAATGATTAAAAATTAATGCTGTTTCCACTTTAGTAAGCTAGTAAATGAATGTCAAAGTGAATTGAAATTATGCAGAAGGGAGTGATGGAGGTACAAGCATAAACAATAAAGAAAAATCAGAGAAACCAAAAGATAATTATTTGGAAAATCAATAAAACTTATAACTCTCTAGGTATAATGATCAAAATAGAGAATATATATTACCAATAACAGCAATGAAAAAAGAAAAATCATTATAGATTCTATGAACATTAAAAAAATAAATTATTATGAAAAGTTATAAGCCAATAAAGCTAACAGATTAGGAGAAAATTGAAACTGAAGAAAAACAGACATAAGAAGAAATTAAAAAAAACAACCAATAATCGTATACCTGTTAATAAAAATAAATTTGCTATTTAAAAACATTCCCACAAAGAAAACTGTAGCCCTATACAGCTTCAATGGTGATTTTTTTTTTTAAAGATTTTATTTATTTATTTGACAGAGAGAGAGAGAGAGAGAAAGGGAACACAAGCAGGGGGAGCGGGAGAGGGAGAAGCAGGCTTCCCGCCGAGCAGGGAGCCCGATGCGGGGCTCGCTCCCAGGACCCTGAGATCATGACCTGAGCCGAAGGCAGCCGCCTAACCAACTGAGCCACCCAGGCGCCCCCATTGGTGATTTCCATTAAATATTCAAGGAAGAAATAAAATTGGTGTAAAAGTCATTTACTCTATTCACCGCTAGATAGGAAATAGGTAACATGTCATTATGAGTGAATTTATGTTGTAGTAGAACAGCATAAACTTAATTTCCAAGAGATTTTAGTTAAAATATTACCTTTGCCACTTTCCAGCTATATGACCTTGGTAATTTCTTTAACTTTCTAAGCCATTTCTCCACTATAAAACAAGATTAAGAATACATCATTGTGTTGTACTGAAAATTACAGATCAAAGATATTATATTTAAAGTACATGGGACAGATTTTAGTACTTTTTGGGTCTTCCAAACAATATGATTTGAAGGAATATATTTCTTTTGGGTTTCTTTATCAGATGGTTATTTATGCTAATGAACCAATGAGAGAAACCAATCACTTCAATCTTGGCTCCAAATTATCTAGAATAACTAAAAATTGAAAAATTGATAATAGATATAAAAATAGCTCAGATGGTCTAAAGACAGGTAATATGCTTTTAGTAAATTCTATTTTTTCTTAATACAGGACAAATTTTAATAATGTATGGAATTATATAGCTAAATAGAGAAATATATAATATATATGTAATATATATAAATATATAAAATATAGATAAATATAGCTAAATAGACTTTTAGTGGCATCTGAACTGAGTCTTCAAAGTAAAACAATAATCTTAGTGAGGATAGCATAATAGAAAAGAAAACCAAATGAGAATAAAAGTTAAGGCAGAAAAAATGATATTTTTATATGAACAGTTGGATTTTTCAGCAGAAGAATGGTCTGAGCTTTGCAGACTGACCCTCCTCTTCTAGAGTTCCTGCACGTATAAATGGTCCCATGAACATGCCCAGCACCCACTGGCTGTCATTCTTACTTTTTCCCTCCTCCAATCCAAATTTCAACCACCTTCAATGGTCTAAATTAAGCCCATCTTGCCCACTGTAACTCATGGTGACAACTCCTACTTTTGAATCCCTATACTATCTACATTCTTTTCCTCCAGTTTAGCTTTTTGAAACAAATATCCACTCCATTTAGTTTTTTACAGTTGCCACAGTGCTCACAGCAGTCCTTCAACATAAATGGCTGGACACCAATTTCTTAGAATAATTAGACACTAAGATCCTGGTCCAAATGCATTTCAATATCATGTAATTATTAAAGCAATGGGTCTTCTTGGGAGCTAAGCTGTCTTCTGTTTCTGTGTTCATAAAGCAGGCATTCTTTTACTATTCCAAGCCTGTATCACTGAAGTGAGATAAATATTAATTACTAATATATATTCAACATTCTGAAACAGGCAAATAAGATTCATAACAGCAACAACCCTCTTATATTTACTTTTAAAACAATCAAGAACATTTTCTTTTGCAAATACATTTTTTTAAATATTGTAAGAATAAGAATGATTAGCAACAGTTGACAATTTGTCCTAGTCTGAGATTTTGTAGCCAAACCAAATACCTTAGGCATAAAAGTAAATATTGCTTCCAAATTACCTATTTCTTAAAGTTATGGAGGTTATATTCTCTGCAATAGTCTTTAAAAAAAAAAACCTAGATAGATTGATTTTACTGAAATGGCTTAAACATCTGGACAATATGTATTGCAGGTATTCAATTTTTAAAAAATATTTTGATGTTAATGTAATTGAAAGCATTCAGATGGGGTGCCTGGGTGGCTCAGTCAGTTAAGTATCTGCCTTTGGCTCAGTTCATGATCCCAGGGTGCTGGGATCAAGTCCCACATCCAGCTCCCTGCTCAGTGGGGAGCCTGATTCTCCCTCTGCCTCTCCCTCTGCTGCTCCCCCTGCTTGTGTGCTCTCTCTCTCTCTCTCTCTGTCAAATAAAATCTAAAAAACAAAACAAACAAAAAAAGCATTCAGATAGAATATAAAAATATAGTGAAATAGATCATTTGCCATTATTTTTTGCATAAATTTCACTAGTTCAAAAGATACCTTGAGTGAACCTGGGTGGCTCAGTCAGTTAAGCCTCCAACTCTTGGTTTCAGTGCAGGTCACGATGTGAGGGTCAGGGGATCAAGTCCCACATCAGCTGAGCAAGGAGTCTGCTTGAGATTCCCTCTCTCCCTCTCCCTCCACCCCTCCCCTCCCCAGGCTCGCTCTCTCTCAAATAAATAAATAAATCTTAAAAAAAAGAAAGATACCTTGGCAATATTCCTGTGTTTGGTACCTCTATTTAAGTGGCTGAAATAAAACACATGCACCTTAAAAATAAATAAAAGTCACCTTAAGAACTTCAAAAATCACATCCTTGTTGCAGTTACATAATAAAAGAGACTTTACATTTGTTCTAACAGGAGAACAATTACAGAGAGACTAACTAATACATGCTTTATTCCTGTACATCCACATAATCATATCTATTTGAAGAACACTTTAACAAAAGATAAAGGGTTGAATTCCATTACCAGGAACACAACAAATACTGTGAATTCTTCAACATTCAAATCAAAATGAAGGCAGATTTGCCCATAGTCTTCTCATAATTGCCTTCCACTTAACTACTTCTAATAACCCTCTAACAATTATCCATCTGGAAAAAAAAAAGTGGGGGCAAGCAAGTTCTAAAGCATTGAATCCAATCCCTTGTACTGCTGTGCTGAGTGGCTGCCTTTAAAGGGGGCATTTTGCATATATCCTCTGATTTATAAAAGGAGCACTTTCTAAATCTTGATCTGGGGAAATTAAAAGAGAGATCATGTGACTGCCATTAAAAATCTATGAGAATGGTGCCTCATAAGCCGTTGGCACCATTTAGAGTTTGTAAGGGTGAGAACCAACTGAGGGGGTGTTTTTGCTCTTTGTGGTTAGATTTCAAAACATTTAACTGAGATTTTAGAAGACACAGGCAACAGTATTAACGATAAAGTTATTTAAAATATAATCCCAGGTTCTTTTGCAGTGTTTTTGTTTTATGTTTGGAGAATATCTCCTTCAAGTGACTTATTTTCTCATATAAAAAACTGAAGTTTTTCTCCGCCACTGGGGCTCCACCCTTCTCCCAGGGCATGGTCCCAGTGTTCCACAGGCCCCTCAGCCCATCAGCCAAAGTGTCCTCACTGAGTTCTATGCCAAGGAAGTCCCATACTATTCACAGAACCAATGAATAGGTCACCAAATACCCTATCTAATAAAAGTGCCAGAGGACCAAGAAAAGGAGGGCATTAAATTTTGTTGAAAATGTAAATTTGGCACAGATGATATCCTCTTATGTAGAGAGTTAGCATTCAAATAACTTATGCAATATTCTTCTTGGATTCATTGAATTCTAGGCTAACTTTATCAATTTGTGCTGTAGGCAGTAACCTGTCTTTTGTCCCCAAACTATTTTGTGTTTTCATTTCATTTCACGTCCTCAATGATCTTTTTGTTACCAGGATTAAGTAGCTCCTTATTGCTTATTTTAGGAATAAAGTCCACGTTCCTTTATAAGGCATTCATAGGACTCCACTTACAGTGACAAGCCTTGTTTCCTTGTTTTTCCACTTCCTGCCTCACAGTTCACTGGAGGCACTGGTCAATTCCTAAGTAGGATCAACACTTTAATTTTTAATCTCTGGGTCTCTGTCTTTACTACTAACAAAAATTCTATAACCCTTTTGCAAAAGCTGCCTAAATCTTACCCAACAATCAAGGTGATGAGGGAACAGAAGGAAAGCTAAGGACAAAGCACAAACTGACACCCTGCATACCCCAAACCCCAACTCCTGGGCGGGATATGTGTGACCTTCCTCCAGGAAACTCCCAACTGTCTTACTGTTAATGCTTTGCTAGAGGGAAAAACAACCTTAGCTTGACAATAGCAAGGCCTCCAGCATCCAGAGAGTCTACTTTAGCATATGAAAATCCTTTTGGACACCTCCCTTTTCTTTACCTCCCCCAACTCCCAAGTATATAAGCAGCCATTCCTCACAACCCCAGGGCAGCAGCTCTTTCTGAACCATGGGTCCTGTTCCTGTGGTTTAATAAAATCACCTTTTTGCACCAAAGACCTCTGAAGAATTCTTTCCTGGCTGTCAGCTCCAGACCTTACCAACATTCCCAAACTACATCAAAGGCATGTGAAACATGCTCTGCAAAGCCTCTATCAGTCCTCACCTGCCTAGTCTCTTTACCAGAACTTTTAAAATATTCTCATGCTGTTCATAATGTACTCTTTGGACTACAGGTATTTGTTACATGAGGAATCTACTGGAATCATTCAGTAATGTGTTTATTCTCGAAATACTATTTATTAATTCTACCATTCTAGGCACTAGAAAAGACACTCTGCCTTTAAGCAACTCACAATCTGGCAGTCTACAAGCTATCCAGGTGCAAGGATAACTTTTATATTTGTGTCCAACAGAGTAAATAACTTTGTATTTCAAACATAAAATGTGACCAACAAATGGTTGCTGATTGAAACTCATGTGATAAAATAAATCCTAGCTCAAGTATTAGGAAATTATCATATTAATATACTAAGGAGAATTTGCATTTAAAAAAAAAAATGAGCTCAGAAGAGATCCCCAAGCACCCTGCTTTTGGGAAGATGGGTTTTCTTTGAGTTTCTCAAATTACAGAAAATAGATGAATGCCTACTTCATGCATAGGTCATACTCATAGGCAATGTATTAATATAGATCCATATGGGAAGATACAGATAACGCTACTCTATATCTGGACAGTCTTGGAATGCAGCAAACACTGATAGAATGTAAAAGTGTGGAGGACCACTGGGTAAAATTGAAAAGGAACTACCATTTTCTTCAGAGCTATGGCCACAGGCAGGAATATACATCCTGACAAAAGCTGCAAATTATTAATTCAATACAGGACTACCATACTTTGGAATTAAGAGTTTTTGCCTTATCTGTCCACTGAAGACTCATTCTTCTAATAGATGATTTAGCTGATAAATCATAAAGCAGCAATATCTGTGAACTATTGGATTTATTTGTAATGGCCATTTAATGGAGTCTACTCACACACAGAGAGAATGAAGTCTCTCACTTGGACAGCTGCTCCTCATTCTTTTCTACAAACAAGGCAAGCAATTTTTAAGGTGACAAATAGCCTACATTTAGGAAAATGTCATACTATGCTACAAAACCTAACGACAGGCAAACCTCAAAAGACTTAGAAATTTGGTTTGAATGAGATAAATGTTCAAAGGACCACCTGCCTATCAGAAGCCTTTATGAAGCTAAGTTCCCCTCCCTCTCTCCAGGACTCCCTACGGAGCTCCTTTATCTCCTTTCTGGTAGTCTCCTCCTCCACCCTCCTTCCCCAGCTTCCCAACAAGGCTCTTTAAAGAGCCATAATAAATCCCTCCCGCCTCATTATTCAGTCTTGTTCCAGGCTTTAGGCCAAACAGCACTGGCAACATCTCTGGATATCCTCCACTGGATATCACTAGAGCTTTACTTTAAAAAAAAAATGTTTATTGGATAAAATATTAAAAACTCAGCATTAGGGGAAACCATAAATATGATCTTCCCCAAAATGGTGCTTATGAAGCTGAGTACATGGGATCAATTTCCAGGTGGTTTAGGCCAATTCCATTTCTCCTGGACCCAGGCTGTGACCAGCAAGCTCAGATGTCACAAAGGAGGAAGTGGAGGAGGGAAGTGGAGGAATGGGAACTTAACCTTCAGAGTACTAGCAGTAACTCCTGCTCTGTGTCCACAGGGCATCAGGCCCTGCGGCAATAGATTTTTGTCTGCCTTTGTTCTGGAATTCTTTCCCAGAAAATTTAATTAGGGAGAAAATCATTGAAAAGCAACATTTCTTTCCAATATTGCTCTTAAAATATTGACATAGATGGTTCTTCTGAAGCAAATAGACAAAGTATTAATGAAGGATTTAAAGGCATTGAACCAAATAAATAAAAATGCTTACTGAGTTCTGCATTGCTTCATTTTATTTTTAAAATGTTTTGTATGCCAAGCATGTCTTGGGGGGGGTGGGCAGGGAAGGAAGAGGAAAGAGGAAGTGTTGCATCCTGAATCTCTTTTTAGGAAAACAATTTTAATAAGTGCCTCTCTCCTTTTTTTTTTCTTTTTTGAATTCTTGAAATCATATACCACTGAGGAAAGAGTTCATCCACCTAAATGTAATTTTTCCAGCTAGCAAATTCTTGTGACAGATGAAAATATAAAACTTTAATTTATCATATGCAAAGAATATGTAAATTTAGGCTTCATCAATAGCATTTTGTATCTGAATTTCATGAAAATTTATTTTCTACCATTTTTTGTTCATATTTAAACAGATTACTTTCCTACATTACATTATTATGAGTGAGTTGGACAGTTAGGTAGTCAGGGCTGGGGTCTGCAACAAGAAAATATGGAGTCAGGACAGCTAAAATAAAACAGCACTAACCTCCTGTTTTGCAGCTTAGACAGGACCACACTAGCATTCTGCTTTGCAGCCTTTGCAGAAATGACTTCTGTAAAATGTCCTAAAATAAGACAACTAACCACAAAGCATCTGTTACTATCACAGGCAAGGGACAGTTAAGACATAAGAACCCAGATGTCAGCAAAAAAGACCATCAGCTCACTGACATTAACTTAATAGGTAGATATGTGACCAAAGTCCTCATTGGCACACTCTGATTGCTTACGATAATTTCCACAAAAGAGTTCATAAAAACCCCTAAACTTAGAAACTCCAAGGGCAACGCTCTCAGGCCTTCCTCTTGTTCTGGGAGCTTTGTACTATAGCTTCAATAATCTTTGCTTTGCTGCCCACCACTCTTGGTCTGGTCCACCTCTTCATTCTTCGGAGCACCGTGACTAAGAACTACAGGCACTAAGGGCAGAGGATTCCTGCAACATTATTCCATTTAATCCAGTTGGATAAGTATTTCTTGGGCACAGGCTTTCTCCTGGGTTTGAGTTCCCTCACCATCCTGGTAATCATCCTCTGAAACATGAGGTTGGATCCAGATTTCTTTATCTGTGAAGTGAGTGTGTATTCCATGACTCCCATTGTCTCTTTCAGTTTTAAATTCTATGCTAACTCGTAAGATTGTTGTGATTAAATGAATATGACATGAACTCACTTTGAAACTATAAAAGGACATGCACATACGAATTAGAGACATGCAACAGTATGCATTGATGCTTATATTTTTATCAGTTGGTAACTTAGGGAATCTACCTTGATGTCCCTTTCAGAATGGGGGGCAGCATTTATCTTATGGGTCAACTGATAGCATCATAATGTCAATATTTACTTAACATTGCATGTACACATTTCACCTGGCCTGCTTCAGAAGGATTCTGGGTGGTAGAAGAAAAAGTTCTTTCCTTAAGGGATACACACTTTTCTTTTTTTTTTTTTTTAAGATTTTATTTATTTATTTGACACACAGAGAGAGACAGCTAGAGAGGGAACACAAGCAGGGGGAGCGGGAGTGGGAGAGGCAGGCTCCTGGCTGAGTAGGGAGCCCAATGCAGGGCTTGATCCCAGAACCCTGGGATCATGACCCGAGCGGAAGGCAGACGTTTACGACTGAGCCACCCAGGCACCCCCATTTGTTTGTTTTTTTTCCCTGTACTTATTAATCTTAAATACCTTTGTAAGAAAAAAAATTAATTAGTACTCTAATGAACTTTTTGCACAAATGATGGCATGTTTCTTGTCTGTTATTTATTGGCCTCTCAGACATTTCAGAGTACTTTGTTAATGTCCATTTAAAAATGGCTGCAGGCTACACTGGTTGCGGCACATCTGTTTTCCAGATCTCCATTTCAGCTATTTTTCAAATGGTTACCTCAGAATGAGATGAATGTTACATTTATTTTTGCACTATAGCCTCAATATGGGTGAAGATTTAATGCAATTTGTACGGTGACAAATGTACTGTTATTATGAAATGCGCTGTGATATTTTTTAAATGATATGCAACAGAGTAAGTCAACTATTTGTGAATTAATGCAGACATCCACTTGGAACTAAAAGGAAGATAAAATAATTCATGGTCAGGCTGCATTTTAATTGGTATCAGAAAACTTTCAGAGTGAATAATAATAAATTTTTCTTTAGAAAATGATAAAATTGCAAATAAATATGAGTGCATTTTTAAGAAATGAGCATTTTACATTTCCCCTTGTAAAATAAATCATTATACCAATATTGCATAGTGGTTAACATCGGCTCTTAAATCAGTGTTTAATTTGAAAACTCTACTGCTATTTCTCAGCTTGTTTAACTTCTCTGTGCCTCATAGGTTAATTAAACGGTGCGTTTAAAGCACTCACTGAAGAATATGCCCTCAACAAGAACTAATTGTGAGGTAATTATCTTCATGTTGCTTATTTAGAAAAACAGTGCAAGAAAGATACCTGTGTACATGTTCATGTTACAAAGTATGTAGCACATTTTTTGTAATGGTTTTTAAGTGAATATAAATTTGTGCTATTTACCAGAGCAATTCTGGCCTTACTTGTTTTTCATTTTTTTTCCAGCTTTATTAAAGTATAATTGGCAAAAAAAAAAATTGTATATATTTAAGGTATGCCATTTGATATTTTGAAATATGTATACATTATGAAATAATCACCACAATCAAGCCAAGTTTCTTTTTTTGTGTGGTAAGAACATTTTAAGATCTACCTAGTTAGCAAATCTCAGGTATATAAATCAGCATTGTTAATTATATCTTAATTATAGTCACATTGCTGTACATTAGATCTCCAGAACTTATTCATCTTTCCTAACTGAAAATTTGTACCCCTTGACCATTACCTCCCCCTTTCCTTTCTCTCTCTAGCCCCTGACAATCCCCATTTAAACAGAGAAGAGTAAAAGTTAAATTCTAACATAAAATTTTATAGTCCTTTACTCATGTGGGTATTTAATAAATGCTTGCTTTATGTAAAATAACCTGGATCATGATGTTGGAAAGAATATACATTAAGTATTCTACTATGATGAATTCTGATTGTGGCTGATTGGTATTATCTCTCTTTTCAAGTACACTTGTTTAAAATTCATTCAAAGATTAGTTTCTTTCCTAAGAAATACTGTGAACATCTAACAAAGCTCAGTGATCAGACTGTGATAGCTATGACTCAAATCACCTCATGATGGCATACAATAGAATCTAGATAGCGATTTCTGAGAAAATTTTAAAATTTAGAACAATGGTTTTAATGAGGAACATCTGATGTCTACCTATATCATTAGGATAGCCATCAGAGAATTATAAACAATATTCAAAGGTACTTTAGAAAGTCCATGTTGATTACTTAAATGTCATAAAATAATAATTATCTTGTATTAAGCATTCTGTTTCTGACATTGTGCCAGGAGATAGAGAGAAAGATAGATGGCTAATCACTTCATCACACCATTCTGACCTCACACTTCTGTTTCATGGAAAATATGATCTACTGCTTTATACTGAGAATTTTGTTTTGTTTAATTTTAGTTTGGTAGTTGAGTTGTTTGTTGTTTGGGCTAGCATGCTTCCTAACACAATTAAAATTCCATTTCACATCCAACCACCACTTCGGATTTGAAGCTGCTGCCTGATTTTTTAATATAATAGTTTAAGCAACAAAAGTTATTATTTCCAGTAGATCTAAAATATGACTGATATGTGATCTTGGCCTGATACTGATACTGTAGCCTGATCATGATATGGCAGTTAAATAAATTCAAAATCCATTGAGCATATAACAATCCACTGCCTTAGAGGACAGGGCTTGGTGCTGCGGACACAGAGAAAAGGAGAACCCAGAATCAATGTCCCCAGGAGCTTAAAACTGGAATGGGAATGTAGGGCAAAGACACACATGCACATAAATTATACAAGACAGAACATCATGAGTTACGAGAAAGGAAAGAAAGTTCTTTCTTTTGAGAAGAAAAGTCATAACCAGGTGACAGAGTGTAAAGGATCTCAAAGGCTTAATTAGGAGGCAGTTTGTGAGCTAAGCCTTGATAGGATGATTTTAAGACTTTTTAAAATATAAATCTCTAAAACAGAATTCTGTTTATCCCACTACTCAATAAATATTTATTGGGTATCTTCTGTTATCAATTATGTGGTTGTCATTGAGTATACATATATGAATAAGTATTTGTTACCAGGAAATGCAAGAGAGATAAACAAGTAAATAGATGATAATACAATGTAGTCAGTGGAGATGAAGAAGTACTTTCACTACCTGGGACAGGGAAGAACTGAAGATTAAGAAAGCCTTTTGAAGACGAAGAGATGAATGAGCCAATTTCTGTAAGACAAGTAGACATTATAGAACTCAGTGAGTCAGGGTAAGTTCTGGGAGGTGATAATGGGCTTAGTATTTTATGTGTTCAGTCATCAAAAACTGTAAGTTAACTTACACCTTACCAAGTAAAAAAACTCTTGAGCTAAGAGAAAACACAAAAAATCCTAAGAAATGTTGTTAGTTTCCTATGGCTGGAAAGCAAAGTGGTTAGCAGAAGTGGTCAAAGAAGGTGGTGAACTGTAAGAATGGGTCAGACATGAGCAGAGTTGTATTCTAATAAGATCCCTCTGGAAGCAGAAGGAGAATGGATTGTTGGAGGAGGGCATATTGTGAGACTAGCATAAGGAAAACAAGTTACCAAGAAAGAATAATACAGATGAGAACTGATAAGGTTCTTTACTAGGTCAGTGGGGATATGGTTGGAAATAAGTGAATGACTGCAGAGGCATGAAAGGAGTTCCAGTGGAACCTGGTGATTAGGTGTTAGTAGCAATGTAAAGAAAAGAGTCAAGAATGGTGGCTAGTTCATTCTGATTGGATGATTAATGCCATTTCCTGGGATTAAAAAAAAAAAGAATTGTGTCTAAGAGGAATAATAAATTTACAACCTTGAGAACTGAAAAATGTCTTGTCTATTGGAAAAATATAGCACCAAAATAAATGTAAATTTCAGATTTATAGGTTTATTCTATTTATATATACATATAGGTTTATTCTATTACTCAACTGGTTACCTAATCTATGGCTTAAAATAAAGTATGGAAAACAGGCCTGATGTAGACCTGACCACACTTTGTATGGTCAGTAATCAATCTCATAAGGATATTAATGAAGGCATAAAGCCAGGAATAAGGATCCAAATGAGGCAGTCATCACCATATAGGTAAGGTACCACTAGAATATATGGGTATGTATAAAATCCCCGCTGGGATTTTATGAATAAACCCCCATTGGGCTTAGCAAAAAAGGACACAAAATATTTGAAAAGAGTCAAGGAAGGAGACTTTATTAATTGAGTGGCAAGACGGAAGAAGAGAATCAGGAAAGACTGGTGCTAATGTGCTCAAGAAAGAGTTTAAAGAAGGACAAGTGGTCCATTGAATCAAATGCTATTGGCAGGTCAAATGAGATGAGCAATGAAAATGTTTCCTTAGATTTAGCTACAAAGAGGCCACTACTATTTATGTTTATCTCGAAAATTGAAAAATAATACTACAAATTATTTGTGGGTCCATAACATGTAGTAAAAGTATAAAAGCATTGTCAGGAAATCCCATACCAATTCAAGGGCAGAACTGCAGCATTGCTCATCTCCATGCAACCATTTGCATTGTATTTTACAAGAACAGTGCCCTTGGAGGTGAGCTACATAATGATCCAGCTCTGGGGAAATAGCAACTTAACTAGCAATTAGTAAGGGAAGTAGGCTTCAAATATATCTGTAGCTTTAAAACAACTGAAATCAAAACGGCAATATATTAACATTCGTTAAATATCACTGGTGGTTACATGGACATTCATTACGTTATTCCCTGTACTATCTATATATTTGAAATATTTAAATAATTTTTTAAAAAGCATTCTTAACACTTGCCTGGTTTCTCTGTATAAACTGTATGAACCACCTCATTAACTATGTTAAGCACAAAAAATAAACACACACAAAACTTCTACTCCATAACACAAAGTGATTTGTACAAACATTATTGACTGAATCTAATACCCCACAGAAACCATAGTTCAAAATAAAACATTACAGGCAAACTTTGAAATTTCTTAAAATTCTTTGCTCACTTCATGCTGGATTTTCATGTTTACTAACATATAAGGTATTTTTGAAGTTAACTCTTTAATATGTATTATTTTTTAAAAAATCACAATGAGGTCTTAATTTCATTGAAAAGTTAAAATTCTTTTGGATTAAAAATGCTATTTTGGGGGTGCCTGGGTAGCTCAGTCGTTAAGCGTCTGCCTTCAGCTCGGGTCATGATCTCAGGGTCCTGGGATTGAGCCCTGCATTGGGCTCCCTGCTCCACAGGAAGCCTGCTTCTCCCTCTCCCACTCCCCCTGCTTGTGTTCCCTCTCTCGCTGTGTCTCTCTCTGTCAAATAAATAAATAAAATCTTTAATAAATAAATAAATAAGAATAAAAAAATTTAAATGCTATTTAAAAACTATCCTCTAACCACTATACTGTGTGGTAAGAATCTTACTCTTATGCTTTGTGATCAGGCTGCATCTTCTAAAGAAAATAAATTTATGATAGAACTGTTGTTAAAATTCTATTACTTGAGTGATACAGTATATAATGATCACATTCCAAAACTAAACTGGATTATCTAATGACTCACTTGAGAGGGAACATTGAATATGCCTATCTAATTTGCCCTGTTGGACAGCAAGCAAAATTTCCAAACCTTATAATCTTCAAAATGAATACATTTCCTCTTTTAATAATGGCCATCTTTAAATATCAGGGAGTATGGCAAATGCTTAGTTGTAGCGTTGTATTTTTCAAGACAATGATATTTATTTAGCAAAAAATTGAATTCTGTGATTTACTGGAATTAAATTATTACTTAGGAACAGGAACAGTATTAATATACAGTTTTCATTAAGATGCTAATTTATTTAACATTACTTAACTCTCTAGTGAGTACACATTCTATAAAAAACCAGAATTCTGAAGTAATATAATTGCCGAATATTCCCTACAGGATAAGAACTGCACACATTCTTTCAAGTTGATCTGTAATGGCATTACAGCAAAAGGCTAAGAACTCATGCATTAGCCTACTTCTGTTTTTTTCCTCATGAGAAAATTAAAGATACTAGTATAAATGAAAGGCTTGATAGTTCTACAACTGTGTACTCGGTTTTTGTGAAAATAGATTAAACTAGCCTAGCCATCTTGTTATTTTTGTCCCTAAAATAATGTAGAGATTTTAGTCATTGAGATACAAAAGAAATCAACTTGCAAAATGTTATGGTGCTGGCATACAGACAGACATAGAAAATACTGTGTTAAAGCAATAAATAAATTTATGCTTATATGCAAGGTAAGATAAGGATCTAATTTGGAGTCTTTCTAAATTGCTATCTTTTAGCACACTGTTTACTGAATAATCCTTCCCCACTATTCTGTAATTTTATCATGTATATAAAATGTTATATATAAAGCTGTAGAGGAGATTAAATGAGTTACCTATAATCCCACCATCTAAACAATAATAGGATTATCTTCGGTTAATTCTTTCCAATTTTATTTCACATTGGTATTTTTTCTTACAAAACTCAAAACATACTAATAATTTCATATTCAGTGTTTTATTTATGATTATTTTATAAAAATGTCCCCACATTATGAAAAGTTTTTAAATATTTTTGTCTATAACAGAAATAATCCTTACTCCCCAGTAGCTAGACATTATTGCTGTTTCTGACATTTTTTTCCTACTGCAAATAATACTGAAGTGAGCATCCTTTTTTTTACATCTTGATCAGTATCCTTGAATGTTTTCTAAGATCAGGGTTAAGAAGGAGAATTAAAGAAATAAACCTTTTAAACACTCTTAATACATATTGCTAGTTTGCTTTCCAGAATGTTACGCCATTCACACATTCAGCAGTCTCTCAGAATGTTCACCTACTCACAGTCCAGCATGGAGAAATATCATGTGATTATTTGTTTAAATCCTTTGTAATTTTATAGGGAAAACAATGCATCAGATAATTTCTTTAGTTTGCCTTTGTTATTAATTAAATTATATACATATACACATATGTATATGGAGAGAATATCAGCAACATGGCTGAAAAATGTACCAGGTTTGTGTCACACACACACACACACCCTCCCCCCAACCCCACCAACAACAAAAATTTGGCATCCATTCATGGAAAAAAGTGTCTTTGTGGAATCTAGCACTCTATGCCAAGGGACCCAGGGAGAGCCTTGCAAATTATGCATCAGGTAACAGGCAGACAGACCTTGGTACCGGCTGTGGACCCTGCAAAGGGCCCATGAACCAGCTCCAGATTCTCTCAGCTGTGGTCCAGAAGCCCCCAAATAAAACTGTCTTAGACAATCACCCATGGATAAGACAGTCTTTGTGGAAGTTCAGGTTTCTAGCGAAGTTCTAGCACACTGATCACACACACACACGGGAAAAAAAAAGAGAGAGAGAGAGAGAGAGAAAATAAACCAAGTTGGTATGCACTGCACAGGGTAAGAGGAACAGCCAGACTTCATCTGCATCAGCCCTCTTCCAAGGTGGTACAGCACAGGACCAAGAGAGATC